AAGGAAGGGAGAGATTAAAAGGGTATACACCAAAATTTTACTTAAGTTTCTCTCAGGGTAATATGATTTTAAAGGGTTTTTACTTTCTTCTCTTGACTTACCTACTTTTCCTGGATTTTAAAAAGTGAGCATGACCTGAAACTAATATAATATTAAATGTCATCTGCAATTTAAATAAATAAATAAGGGGGAAAAGTGAACATATATTGCTTATGAAATAGGGTAATTATTACTGTAAACAACAGAGAATTTAAAATTATTAAATTATTTAAAATTTGTTCTGGATATACATTAATCATACGTTATGCCTTTCATGAACGTATATTTTCTTTTTGCTCTATTTGTTATTTAGTCTTAACCAAGATCAACAACTATACCCTGCTGGATTATTCCCTAATGAGTCCTCCAGAAATTACTGAGAACTACATTGACCTGAATTTGAAGGTAACTTTTTCATCATCATCAGAGTCGTCGTCCTGGCCAGTGACGGCCAGTGCAGGCGTCCCTTGGTGTCCTCCGGGGATCGGTTACAGACACCTCCCCACCAAAATCTGCAGTCCTCAAGTCCCTTATGTAAAATGGCATGGTGTTTGCGTTTAACCTGTGCACATCCTTCTGTATATTTTAAATCATCTCTAGAGTACTTATAAAACCTAATACAAGTGCTATGTAGATAGTTGTTTTAAAAATATATACATACTCAGTACAGACACAACCATCATAGGCCCAACTACATAGTGCCCGTCAGCAACCACGTAACTTTTTTTTTCAAATATTTTTTATTGCTGTTGGTTGAAGCAGAACCTATGGATACAGAGGGTTGACTCTATTTGGGAAACAGATATTATGTACATAGGGATATATACCTATATGCTCTTCAAATAATTTAATTTCCTTCCAAGCATTCCCTGCTGTGTATTCTCTTTCAGAAGACTCTTAAACATTTCCTTGACTGGGAAATGATTGTTTGGATTGCACAAGACATGTCTGTCTTCTTCAAGAAGAGTCTCATGATGCCTTTGCCCCTGGGAGTAGGTTTGAGCTAGGAGGCAGCAAGTAGAGTAGTCTGCATTTATGAGAACTTACCTTATCGGTAAGTGTACATATTCCTCTCAGATTAGTCCGTTTAACTGCGGGCTACTGACCTCTGTTGGGGCCATTAGCACATGAAAATGGTGTTTGCTGATTCTGGAAAAGTGATCAACTGCCCTTATGTTTACTTTTGCCCCAAAGTTAATGTCATTGTTTTTTTAAAATGCATATAGGCTTATATTTCAATCACTCAGAGTCATTCAAATTAGTTAAATCTTACACAAGACACCATTTTCTAATAACAACCAATAGTTAATGAGGGCAGCATTAGAAATGCTGTGGGCTTTCTCCTATGCCTCTGACGTCCATGATGCAGTCATGAACACACGATGCAGGTGCAGTTCAGGTGCCGTGTTCAACTCAGTTCAACTCAATAAATGTTTGTTAAGTGCTTAAAAAAAAATGCTTTAAACCATTCAGAGTTCTGGGGCCTCCTGAGTCTTTCTGTGACAACCCAGAGGCTCAGCAGTCACGGATTTTGAAAGTCAAGGGTTTGACATCTCTACCTGGCACCTCAGGAACTATTCAGAGCTGCCACCGCCAGCTAAATATGCCTGCCTTTCTTTCTTGGAGCAAAGGAGCAACAAGGACTTCTCACTAGGTTACCACCCTAGGGTGGACAGGCATGCCTAGATGTACGTGTAAGACCTCAGAGCTTTGAAACATAGTCATTAGTCAAAGAGCCAGAAGGCCTTACAGTTTTTCCCGTCCCTAATGAGTTTCCGGAATTTTCCTTATTCTGACCTGAGAGGGTCCACCTTCTTTAGTCTTGCACATTTGAGCCTTCTCTTGACACACTGGTCTCTCTTTTCCCACAGGGCGTATTCTATCCACTGGAAAACCTCACTGACCCCCCCTTCTCCCCGGTGCCTTTTGTGCTCCCAGAACGCAGCAACTCCATGCTCTACATTGGAATCTCCGAGTATTTCTTTAAATCTGCATCTTTCGCTCATTTTTCTGCTGGGGCTTTCAACGTCACTCTCTCCACGAAAGAGGTGAGGAAAGTTAACAGGTGATGACAATTGGCACCAACATTTAGTCTTATCATAAGTGTCCCATTATGGGTTTTTTAATGCCATAATTTCTATTCCTGAGCTTTGTAGACTATCACTCCTATCAAGACAGTAAATGAAGGAGTTGTGGAATGAATGTTATTAGTTGGAAACTTGTTGGGTTTCCAGTTCCTCTCATTTCACTTTTTTATGATTCCGAGTCACTGTTCTAGATCGCTCTTAAATAATGACAGGACCACCTCCATCACTTATTCCCTGTGATTTTGGGCAATTTCAGTTTATTTAATTTCTCTGTGCCAGAATTCCCTCATTTGGAAAATAGGAATAATAATAATTCTATTCTCATAGGGTTGATATGGACATTAAGGAAGGTTAAATATACGTAAAGCATTTAGACCAGTGCCCAGCTCAGAGTAAGTGCTCTCTGAGTGTTGTTGGTCATCATCATTATTATTATTCCTTATGTTATGCTAATATAAAGTTTTCTCCTATTAGCAGTTGCCACTGATTTATCTGCAATGACGAGTGAGAACACAGATACTCATTGATTCTCTTCGCCATGCCCCTCTCTTTTACATAAAATGAGAACTCTCTTTCCAGCCAGTCAGCCAACAACTTTTACTGAGCATCCCTTTTGAATCTTTTCATTCTGTAGGTCTTAATCATACAAGTAGTTATAAACCTTATATTCAAAAAGCTAAGTTGGCAACACCAGCTACCATAGGGTGCTGAAAATTAGACACTTTTAGCTTCAAGACTTGAAAAACACCCGTCTGTGAAGATGAATCACTTAAGCATTCTTGCCCTGTAATCTCGGAAAATGAGAACAGTGGCACAAACGTATTGTTAACCACCATAGAATATTTACATGTGGATCACACATATGTGATATACACAGTGTTCCCAAGATTAAAAGTCACTTACTCAGAAGGAATGTCACTCCTGGGTGACTCCCTGTGTGCAAGTCCCTTTACCTCTCTGGGCCTCAGATTTCATGTGGTTGATCTACAAAATGATATGTCGCCTTCAAACAGCTTTTTTGGTGCAACAGCTTCATAATTCATGAAAATTATAGGGAATGCTATATTTTCCCTGAAAAGATGGCCCAGGGTAAAAACTTCACAGTGACACAATGGTTCTTAATTTTCCAGATTTCCAGCCATTTGGTTCAAAACTCTCAAGGCATCGGCAATGTGCTCTCCCGGGTAAGTGGTCAGGATTTGGCTCCTTGGCAGTGTATTTGGCTTCACTGAAATTACTTCTGGAGCACTTGTGGGTTCTTTATATCCCTTTTTGGCACAAGCCTGACTCCATCTTCGCACTCTTAAGGGATTTTTCTTTCTTTTGATCAAATATCTACAAATAGTTACTGAACCAGTTACTATTAAAGGCATTTTAAGTTCACAAAATAAATCATCTGTTCCATCCACAAGGATCTACCACACTTGAGATATTAGCTTAAATGGAAAATGAAGGACTAGTGCCTACGCTTGTGACTTCAGCAAAGCAACTATTAATGTCATGCCTCAGAGCACCTGAGTGCTGGACACAGTGTACTGAGAGCTCAGGTTTGCCCCTGAGGACAAAGGGAGACATGCTGTTTTTAGAGCATCCTGGTTTTAGAGCAAGGATCTTGAATTACACCGACCTAGATCTGAACCCCAATCCTACAACTTACTCACCCGGAACCTTGAGAAAATAACCTCTCCGAGACATACTTTCTTCATTTGTGAAATGGGGAGAAGCTGCCTCACAGGGATTTTTGTGAAGATTAAATGAGATAATACAGGCAGCCCTGACATGGTACCTAGCACACGGTGTGTGTTTGATAAACTCAACCATTATTATTTGGTCTTTGCATGTTACTGTTGTTATTATTGAAGAGTTTGTTTTCCTGTTCTTAGTGCATAACGTAAGATTTAATCACTCCGTATTTGTGACTTTCCCACATCAACTCACAACTCCCGATGTCGGTGTTTTTATTTCCTGAACACGGGCAGATTGCAGAGACCTACATCTTATCCCAGCCCTTCATGGTTCGCATCATGGCCACGGAGCCTCCCGTGATCAATTTACTACCAGGGAACTTCACCCTGGACATTCCTGCCTCCATCATGATACTCACCCAGCCTGAGAACTCAACTACTGAAACCATCGTTTCCATGGACTTTGTAAGTCTGCAGGGACAGAAGGGCAGCCGGCAGATACCAATCCTGTTCCTGTAGCAGACCCCTGGCCAGCAGCCGTCTACCAAGTGCTTGGAGGGCTGGGAAGCAATACAGCAGTGAGGAGTGGAGACAGGATTGAGAGGGGTGCTGGGGAGAGGTGGGAGGCCAGTGCTCAACAGCCCTACATTGTAAGATAGCCCTGCACCCTTCTCCACTCCCTGTGCGCCCTTCCCTCTGCTTCAGTTACATTGACAGCCAAACTTCTTTTTTCTTGAAACAATCAAGGAGGAATTCAAGTTTATTTGAGCAGACAAAGGCCAAATGCAATTCCATAAAAAGGGACTAATACAATGAACCGAAGCCAGATACCACACACACAGAAGAAAGATTAGGAAAAGGGAGAAAATTAGTTCAAAGGAGATCTTCAAACAGAAAGTCTTTAGAGTTAGTTTTCTTACCTGAAAGACAGTACCTTTTAGAATTATTTCTAATATCTCTCAGAGTGAGCGGGAAAGTGGAACTTATGATGTTTCCACTATAGGGACTGATACTTATGACCAGTCTGTGGCCAGAGGGATCCTCTCCTCCTGGTAACCAATGTTTTTGTCGTCTGCAGGTCGCCAGTACCAGTGTTGGCTTGGTTATCTTGGGACAAAGGCTGGTCTGCTCCTTGTCTCTGAACAGGTAAGACCAATTGATTTGACTGTTGGGAACCTTCATTGCAAGTGAGTCGACAGGCCGTAGAGACAAAGTGAGCAAGTGTAGTGCCCACTGGACAGAGCACGAGTCACATGAGCACCTCTCCTGCAATAGTCCAGATCATTTCAAAGCAGGGACTTAAAAATGCATCGCGATGTTTTTCTTTTTTCCTTCCCATTACATAATGCTAAACTAAAACGGGCAACGAAATAATTAGAATTCTTTAATATTAATGTACATTCTAATGGAACAGCCATATTAAACTAAAATTCCTCTTTAACAAATTCAGAAGGCATGCCATTGAGGAAAGAGCATGAATCTTGGAGGTCAAGGAATGAAGTTCCAAATCCCTGTTCACTGGTTCCATAACCATGATCGAGTCTATTAACCGCTGAGTCTCCATTTCTTTATCCGAGAAATAATGAAGTTGGACTGACTCATTCCCGAGATACCTTCAGGCTCTGATACTCGGATCCCATTAATGTGAGGTAGGGTTTAACAAGCCTGTGCCGCACGGCCAGCTGGCTCTCAGAGGCAGGCCATGCAGTGTGAAAGGGGTCGAGCAGGTCACAGACACAGACCACTGAACGTTAAGGGCCACTTGGGAAAATGGCCCATTTTCCTCAGCACTTTGAAGCCTGTAGTTGAAGCTATGAGTCAGATTACCTGGGTGAAGGGGGGGCAGTATAGAATGGTAACATGGCCCAGGTTAACGCTGTGAAAGGAAGATACAAAGACTAAAACAAAGAAAGCGGAGTCCAAAAAGACTAGGAAGCCAGCAGCGGGGGACAGTCAGTCAGTCACCGTCAGGCAACCTGATGGCCATCAGGAAGGACTATTATAGAAACATGCAAGATGTTTGCAATAAAATAATACTAAATGGAACAAGAAAAATACAGAACCACATGAACACAACAGTCAGCCCTGTAAAACAGCTTTCTACCTGGACAGGGAAGTGAACAGCAAAGGAAGAGCTATGTTCAGAGAGAAGATTACAACAGGTGCACTTTTCCTTAAATGTTTTTTAGAACTACAAAGCTGACCCTTGAACAACTCAGGTGTTAGGGTGCCGACACCCCTCCCCCATGCAGTCAAAAATTTGCTATAACTTTTGACCCCCCAAAAAAGCTTAACTAGAGTTGGCCTTTGGTATCTGAGGGGTATTGGTTCCAGGATGCCCCATAGATTCCGAACACCAAGGATGCTCAAGTCCCTTATATGAAATGATGTAGAGCGATACATACAGTCGGCCCCCTGCATCTGCGGATTCCCAACTGCTGGTCAAAAATACTATGTGACTACTGGTTGGTTGAACCCATGGATGTGAAATCCATGGGAACAGAGGACCGGCAGTAGTTTTGGGAAAAATCTGCATATAAGTGGACCCACACAGTTCAAATCTGTGTTGTTTAAGAGTCAACTGTACATTTTCCCAATAAAAGGAACAACAACAAAAAACAAAAAAAAGTTGAAGGTAGCATGGTTTCCCAGAGACAAACGATTTCAAGGTTTACTGAACTTTTCTGAGCTCTTCAAAACAGGACTTATTTCTCCATTAGACTCAATAGGCACAGTGTCTAGAGCCCACAATATTTCAGGGATCCATGAAAATGTTTTAATATATTTTAAAATAAGAATTAAAAAAATGAATACAATCCAGCATGGATTATACTTGTCTTTATACCAACATGGTCTTAATATATAATTTATAATGTTTTTTATGGAGGAAAGGTTCCCAAAGGCAGAAAACCTCAGGCCCCCAAAAGTCATAATGTAGCCCTATTTCCAGGAGACCAAGGCTCATGAAACTCTGACCTTTGGTGGGTGGCCTCTGGGATGGCAGTTTTAATGGTTGAGCCAGAGAGCAGGAGACAAGGAGGGAAGGGACTAAAGGTAAGGAGTTGGCAGCAGCTGAACTAGGCCACAAGAGAAAGGAGAGCATTCAGAACGTGGTTTGCCTGAGAAGCAGGACTGTAAGGACAGGGGAGACCTCCATCTGTTTGAAGACCGAGAGGAGAGGGCTGGTAGGGAGGCTGGAAGTCTGGAGTGATGGGGAGAACGGGGCAGGGCTGCTCACAAGCTCCTAAGCAGGTGGAGACAGCATTTGCTCTCGAGCAGCAGTCTGGTTTACTGTCAGGATCCGAGAGAAGGATTTGATATGGATGGGGCTGCAGGCTTGTGGCAGGCAGGTAGGAAAGACCTCAGGGAGCAGAGAGACCAGGTTTGCTTCTCTGCTTAAATCAGGCTGACCCTAATCTCCAGCGTTCCTGCTGCTAAGAGACTGCGTGCTCAGCAGGCGTTATGTTTATTTATGGAGTAATTGGAAAAACTGGTTGTAACCTGCTGCATTCGCATCATCCAAAGAAATGTGTAAATCCTTTCTCTTATGGCCTAGCTCAGCTGCTACCAATTCCTCACTGCTACATAATTTGCAAGACCCAGTGCAAAATTAAAATGCAGACCCCTTGTTCAAAAATTACGTAGAATTTCAAGATGGAGATAGCGGGGCATTCTAGCAAGCAGGGGCCCTTCTGAGCAGAAGCCCTGTCCTAACTGCACAGGTTGCCTGCATTGAGTCTGAGGTGGCTCCTGCAGGGGGTGCTATAGCAAACCTCAGGCAGTAAATGGACTAAGGCCAAGGCAGATCAGCCAGGCTTCACTCTGGCTTCAGGCAGCCAAAGTGAGAGGCCAGACTTTGCAAAGGAGCGGAGGCGGTGCTGAAAGAGCAGCCTTAGCCTTTGGCAGTGAGAGTGGTAGCCCCGCCACCCACACAGGCCACCCCAGCCAGTGTCTCCACTCCTGGGCTTCCCAGGCAAGCACTGCTTTTCAGGATGGGCTGGTTTCATCTTCAGTGATGTCAGAGAGACACAGCAGGAAGGGGTGGGAAGCGGGTGGGGATCAGTGAAACTTCCCTGAGAAGAACCTGGGAGCACAGTGTCTCCAAATACAGCTCTCCAGAACACCTCACCTTTCTAACCATCCCCTACCTGGAGGAGCCCCTTTCTGGAGCTGCTCAGGGTAGGATATGTAGTTGTGATCTGTGGAAATCAGAGGCACATCCAGAGTGAGGAGGTTAGAGAGGTAGTGAGGTCACAGGCTTTGCCATCTGACTAGGTGATTCAGATCCCAGCCCAGACTCATCAGCTGTGGAGTCTCAGGCAAGTTTCTTAACCTCTCTGGGCCTCCATTTCCTCCTCTATAAAATAGGGCTGAAATAAAACCTATTTCATGGGTTGTTGTGAGGAATACATGTATTAATACGTGTGAAGTGCGTGTTATATGTTCAAGAAATGTTGGCTGTGTCTATTATTTAAAATTTGGGGCTGGCCGCAGTCAGGGGAAAGTGGTGCTCAGTCATACAAGATCATTACAAGAGTTCTGCTATTCAGAATACACCTCATGCCCATCTCCCACCCAGGGGTAGTGCTTAGAGAACTCACCTTTTGTTCTATACTTATGACTACTCTCTGTTATTGAGCCTTTACTGTCTGCTGGTCCCAGGCCAAGCACTGCACATAAATTTTTTCATTTAAACCTCACAACCCCGTAATCTTCAGGACCTGGCACAGTGCTCAATAAATGTCTGTAGATTGAGTGAATAGCCCTGGAGGTAGGTACTAGTATCCCCACATTTCAGTTTCTGGAGGTTATATGACTTACCCAAGTCACAGAGCTACTAGAGTAGCAGAGCCAGAACTTGAACCTGGGAGAGTCTGTTTTCAAATCCTTGAATGTTTACTTACTGGATTAAGGTACCTTTGATGCAGTGAAAACCTGAGACTTAGAAAATTAGATTTACACCTAAGACTTAGGAAATAAATGCCCTTGCCTAGGAGCAGAAACCTCTGAGCATGGAGTCCCACTGAACTGAAACAGGCAGCATGACCTTTCTCAATGATAAGTGTTGACAGATGGGAAGACGCTGGCATTCGACACGGCCCTTCTCGTGGCATTAAGGAGCTGAGTAAAGGAAGGATGAAGAAAGCCAAAGCTGGGAGCATAAATAATAAACCTGGCTTTTGGGTATGTCTAGCGAAGCACGGGCTCTGGGGTCAGGCATGTGTGAGTTTGAACTCTGCCTCGGCCATTGGGAGCTGTGGGACCCTGAGCCTCTCTAAGTATCAGTTTCCTCTCCAGCAAAGCAGAGCACCTCTCCACAGAGCAGCTGCATGGCTAGATGGGCTAATGTGAAAAGTACAACACTCAGCACATAGTCAGTGCTCAAGAGAGACATTCCTCCTAGCAGTGGTGTTTCATTCTTTCCCCATTCTAGGATCAAAGTCTGAGCAAGTAAGAGGGGGAAATTGGTCCCAAGAGACATGACAAGCCAGGGTAGTCTTACAAGCTGAAGAATTAGCACTCAGGGTCATACACCAGATTTTTACTGCTCTATCTACAATGGAGAATTTTGTTCCAAACACAGTTCTGTTCGGAGGTAACCCCAGCACAGGTTGGCCCACATAGTAGACATTTTGAGATTATTTCAGAAGTCAAATTAAAGGACACTTTCCCATATTTGTTTCTCATCCAGGTGATGTAATTCTAACCCTCTTTGCTTAATCGCAAGCAAAGCTTGAAGCAATCAAATGTACACTATTGTTGAACCATTTAGAACTTTAGGTAATTTTTTTGACATTGCTATGATTAAGATTTTGGGTGCTCCCAAACTGCACCCCACCCCACTACCATCTACACACACACATGCCCTACAACCCCTCCCATGCAACACTGGCAGAAAATGCAAATATAGCTGACTACGAACAGATTGAATCACCACCTAATTCCACTCCTCACAGCCTGGGCGGATAAACATTTCCCCAGGTGAGCCATCTGGAGAGCAACCCGGAATGGAAAACAGGTCCGGGAAGAGTGGATTCAGTTTCTGTTGGAACCGTGCGCTGGACAGGTGAGCAGAGCTCAGACGTGGCGCCTAGGTAGACCTCCATCTCCATCTTTCTCTGAGCTGCTGTTGAAGCCAGGACAGAGGAATGCCACTGCAGGGGGGCCCATCGGAGGTGGGAACCCCAAATGGCTTCCTCCCTGACTCTTTGGAGGAATTCTCAGATTGCAGATGTCAATGAAGTTAAAACACTGGGGCACTTGTCTTCGAGAGGCTCCTTAATTACTGGAATGGCCCAACACATTCCTCCCCTCAAAACCCAACATGGTTGGACTTAATCCACAGCCTGGGGGTTTCAAACTCTTCAATGACTGGTTCTACCTTTCAAGCCAGCCAGCCTTGCTTCCCACAGCTCCCTAAAATAAGCATTCTGGTGGTGGAATGAAACCCACACTGGCTCACCCTCAAAGTGACCTCAATTCCAATAAACACTCCCCCACCCATCTCCTTTATCTACTCGTGTGTATCCATATGTCCACTGAATGAGAATTTATTAAGCGCCTGTTATGTGCTCTGCACTGTTCTTGATACAGAGAGTAGAGAGGACAGTGGTTTCCACCTTCCAGATCCACGACCTGGTGAGAGAAACACACTGATTAACAGGCAATTACAGTACTGGATGCTCTGGGACATGGGAGTGTACAGAGTGTTTCTCTCAAAGGGCAGTTTATTTTCCTCCCACACCCCTCTCTCTCTCTCTTTCTCTCTCTCTCTCACATGCACACACACACACACACACACATACACACACACTACTCACACTGGCTTTCTTACCTTTTCACATCTCAGAATTCCTGCAGCAAGTCAGTGTGGTGTGTAAACTCACAAAAGAGCACCTGAATACACACTGCTTAGCATTGCTCTCTAATTGCTTCTTGCACATGCAGCTTCTTTCCATCCCTCGCATAAATAAAATTCTGCACATTGCATAGCAAATTACTGAGCATAGAATGAGCTCCTGGGAAACCTCTCAGCCTGCTAGTCTTTCCTCCACACTGCAACCAGAGGGATCTTTACAAAACACAGAGGGTATTGAGTGTGGAACTGATTTTCAACGTCTGCCTCAGCTACAGGGTTGGAGGAATGGCATTGTGAGTGCCTGTGTTTGTTCCACTTGACCTTCACTGTGTCATATTTGCTGTATTGACCCAGATCATAAAGGGCCTTTTGCCATGCTTAAGAGTTTGCACTTTAGCTCTGGTTTTCAATCAGGACAATAAACCTTCTCCAAAACTTTTTAAATAGGCTATATGTCTGCAAGGTAGGGCTATTTGAGCTCCAGTTTTCCCCAAGGACTCTGTGGTTCTTTAATAAAAACTAGTTCCTAGTGTCAAGGCTTTAAGTAGCAGGTTAGGGGCCTGTAGAGAATGAAAGGTGAAAGGACTGACCTCAGTCGCCACCTAGTGGTCTGAGCTGTGCTTGCGTGTTTTTCAGAACCAGAGGAGGGAGAGTTTGCTCTTCTGCCTTTTTCTCTGCAGTTGGTGAGACGAGTCCGTCAGTAAACTAACCCTGTGACTGTGCCTAGAGAACAGAGAGAGAGACAGAAGATGGCCTTGGGAAGGAAGGAAGGATAGTAGGTTAATGGGAAACCCCAGACAGGCTCACTCATACAGCAGGTGGTCCCAAAATGTCCAATCGTGGCTTAGAGTTGTGATGAAAGAAAAAAAAGAAAACTCACAAGTGTGTGGAACATGTGATGAAAGAAAAAAAGGAAAATTCACAAGTGTGTGGCACCTTCATGCAGGCCGGGCTTCTAACCTGGCCTGCCTTGTCCATGATGAGAGGCAGTGTGGCCAGGGGAGGCACCCTCTCACATTTCCCCAGCAGTGCCTTAACAATTACACTGCACTGCCTAATGACAGGCAGCTATCGTAGCTAACGTCTCCCCTGTGTGTTATGATTGAGCAGATAAAAAGTGATATAGGTGATTCAGTCTTCTGAGAGAGTCTAGAGTCAAGTACAGTGAGATTGGTCAGATGGATCCATCAGTTGCTAACTCTGAAACTTGGGTAATTTAATTTCTGTGATCATCCATTTCCTTGTCTGCAAATGGGGCAACAATAATTGCATCTATCACAGGGTTATTGTGAAGATTAAATTTTGAAATCCTTATAAATATCCTAAACCAGGACATATTGTATAGTGTCATTGCTATCACTACCATTGTCGTCATGTTTATTAATAAGGAACCAGCCTAGACCAGAGAAGTTGTGAGGTTGAGTTCAGAGCAAGAAGACCTGAAACTGTACCCCCATCTGAGTACTCCCCAGGCCTAACCCTGCTCAGCTGCAGAGATCAGACGAGATTGGGCACAGAGGGGGTATGGCTGTAGACTGAAAACTATTTCTTAACATTGCTCTGAATTCCAAGTTGCCAACAGTAAGTCCCGCAGAGCGAGTGCCCTTGGGGAACCCAAGCCTTCTGCTATTCCTGCTCTGCTTCTTAAGAAGCAAATATAGGGGTAAAGATGTAATAGAGCCCTAGTTGGTTTTGCTCAGTGGTAAGAGCATTGGCCCATGGACTGAAGGGTCCTGGGTTCGATTCCGGCCAAAGGCACGTACCTCGGTTGCAGGCTGGTCAGGACGAGTGTGGGAGGCAAACAATTGATGTGTCTCTCTCCACTGCCCCCATCTCCCTCTCTCTCTCCCCTACTTCTACTCTCTCTGGAAAAGCAATGGAAAAAATATCCTCAGGTGAGGTTAAAAAAAAAAAGAGGTAATAGAATGTTATGTCCTTACGAGATTGGGTGTTTTATTAAAATAGCAACTTACTGAGCTTTAAAAAATCCCCTACGCCTTTTGTTTATTTCTATGGAAATGGTTGTTTTAAAATCTTCTCCTTTAACCTTTTCCTGTTTCTTTCTGTTGTTTTGTTTTGTTTCCAGGTTCCGTCTCTCTTTGCCAGAGTCCAATCGCGGCAACATTGAGGTAGGGATCGGTCTCAGAGTTCCCTGGCCAGGGAACATGAGAACCCTATACAGTAGCTGGGTGATTGTTTCCTGCGCCTCTGAGGGGTACTTGGTTTTCCCACTAGTGTAGGTTTTAACTTTAAAATTATTCATGTAGCTACTCATTCACCAAACGCGTTAACTTAGAGGAACTCTCCAGTTCACTCTTATCTGTCCAAAAAGATTTTAAAAAGAACTCAAAAGACTGTTAAGACATTGTGCAATGTTGGGGGAAAAGGCATTTTCAGGGCGATTTCAATTTTTGTATAAAATGATCCTCTACAGTTAAATCGAAGATCCAGGCTACCAAGGACGAGGCTCTATGTCAGTTATTAGGCCCTGGTCAAGTTTGCTCCTCAAAGGCTTTCTAGCCATCTTCTAAAACTAGAAGGATTACCTTTTAGGGGAGGGCAGCCTGATTATCTCCTGATTAGAAGAGTACATCCCAACATGCGACTTGAAACCCCCTCGCCCCACCTCCAAGCTTCAGGAAGATCAGCCACATCTCACTAATTAGCGTCCAACCCTCATGGCTCTTATATGCTAGAGCAGTGGTTCTCAAGTAGGGTCACTGTGGATTAGCACCACTGTGTATAGCCATTTGCTAGATGACAGACTATAGTCAGTAAATGCATAGCTGACTATCTCATAAATAATATTTCCTGAGCCCAGAGTGGTCAAAATGAGTCCAAGTCTTCCAGGAAGACCCACAAACTGCTTAGTATCAACAACAGAGTGTACTAACAATGACATTTCTGAAAAAATAGAAATGGTATATAC